TTCGATGCACAAACTTGGGTCTCGCCGAAGTAGGTGAGTCAGATCAAAAAGCATCGGAATGTTCTGAAGTCAACGGATGTTGAAAAAAAAATTTCTACAAAGCTTGGTTAAGAATTAAGGTGTGGCGGTTGCAGGCTGCCACACATGTTGATTGGAGAGTGTTAAACCGATGTGCCCGTATCGTCAAACCATTTGATACATCTCGTAAAGCTTCAGTGTTTCGGTATAACATGTGATACTTCTGTGAGTAAAAATCTCAAGTGGAATACAAACGGTACATTGTTTTGCATTCACAATTGAACTCTGTTCATGAGAAACGGATACATATATAGGCCTAGGACATCACACATCGTTCACAACAGTACATCCCTATAACTATCATCAGTTTATTAAGGCTTCAAAGTTTGACAAAGTTATCACAATCGAGGCTCAAGAATTACGGGTCTTGTCTATACTTTGTTTAAGAACGGTGTGTTAAAGGGGGTGTCTTTTGTGACTAGTGTTTATTATCCTCGGACTGGTAATTTATCCACATGTGCATAGCGGGATTTATTCCAAGTAGATAGACGGAACGGTAAACATTTACATTTAGTGGTATCACTTTTTGATTTGTTTCAGGGCTTGTGCATGCAAAACAATATACCATATGTGTTACATTTGCAACTTTCACTCATAGGATTATAGTATGTTACACGGAAACAGTGAAGCCGTACGAGAAATTTCAAATGGTTTGACGATACGGGCACATCACTTAAACCTTTTCCAATCAACTAGTGGCGCAGAGTATTCGACCGCTGCATCTTCTCTTTCCTAACCAAGCTTTGCAACATCAACGTTTGGAGAAAATAATTTCATTCAACATCCGTTAACTTCAGATTATTCCGATAGTTTTTGATTTGACTCGCTCAGAGCAGTGTGACTGAAGTTGGTGCGTCGAGGTTAGAGGACTACTGGTCAAGGCTAAAGGATTGTGGGTTTTGGCTGAAGAATCACGGGTCGACGCTAAAGGACTGCGGGTTTCGGCTAAAGATCGATGGGAAAAGGGTGTAGTTAGAGCGTTGAACGGGAGCGTTCCACTAAAGCATATGACCCCCCCATTCCGATACGCTTTCGTGTATTTGTGATATTTCACGGACAACTAATCTTGGCCAAAGGTTGATCAACTCTTTCTGCTGGTATCTTACCCGCAGAAACCTCGCAAACTGTAGGCACATGACTCTTACGCACGAGAACACGTGCCACATCCTATTTGTCCAACCTCCACCAGTGATAATTTATTAACACAAATTACTTTTGAACGTCCAACAGAACGACATCAATTTGGTTTACCAGGGTTCTGCTGAATGCGACTCAGTTTGCATGAAATCCCCCAAACAATGCAGAAACGTCTTAAAACGAACGGTGGTTGTAACTTGACGATCAATATGCATCAAACATGCAAAACGGGTTGCCACAAAAAAAGAAAGCTTCTTTTCGTTATTGACGGTTTTTTTTTCAATTACGCATACATTGCCAAATGTTGTTATTTATTCTGTGAGATCAAGGGAATGCGGTGACTCGCCTGCAGATCAGATTTATCCATAGTGGATAATCTTTGGGTGTACATTGGCTTATCATGTGTGCTAGAATTCTATGATTTATTATCCAAAGAGTAGAGTGCTAGCCACCCTTAAGTTCGAATGGGAGAATATTGACTTTGAGGCAATTGAAAATCTTATAAGGTTGATAAGATGTATTGAGGAATCAAAACCCGCTAAGGTTTGCACTCAATTTTCATTAATAACCATGGAAACTATGCTTCTGTTGCTGTCTCCCAGGGCTCCACATTTTCTATTCTAATCAGCACGTGGTGCATTGTTCTGTTCCGAAATTTCGTATGCCGGTTAGTGC